ACGAAGGAGACGTCCGACACACAATGAATGCATCACTCTGCTTCAGCGCAGCAGCGTTTTGCCCCCCCTCTTTGGTTCAGATGGACTGGAATAATTTCTGAAAGCTCACTTCTGAACAGGACATGGACACTTTATAGGTGATTTATGAACTGTTTTGAGTTGTGTTCACTTACAACGTTGTCACATTACAGACAGCAAAGCTATTTATTTATTCTAATGCTAATGAATTATCGGTTAGCAAAGCTACCTTTTTGGTTAGCTGTGCTCACCCCACTGTATCCAACTATTACCTCCTTCCTTTCTTTCTTATAAATAAATAAATAGTTGAACTATTTGCCTTTTTGATTAGTTCTTTTGTTCCCCAACAAACAAATTCAGTCTGCTAAATCACCATGAAAAATATAAGCCTCCAAAATGGCTGAATTCTATGGTTCAAGCATAGATTAAAGCTATGGTTATCATCCAAGTTGGCTTTTTATTTAGTACAGGTGTGGAAATTTAGACCTTAAATGTTAAATATATCTGACCCCCAATTTTATTTTCTTAAATAGAAACCAAGCTTATTTTTCTTAAAAATAACCCAAAGTAAACCAAATCTAATGTGATACCCGAAATAATATTAGAATTTCTATAACAGTTCAAAGCTTCTCCGAGCACAAATAAAACTTTTCCCTAATCTTCATATAATTCTGAGAAGTAAAACACATTTTTAACATGTCATAAATAATTCTACCAAGGCGTTCATCTAGATTTAAGTACCTGACTGCAGGAAACTGCTCCCTGATCACCAGGGAAGTATTAGAGAGGACAGTTGATAAAGCCCGGCTCACTGCTGGGCCTTTAATTCACGCTCAGGGCTTTAAAGGCAAATGAAAGGATTTAAAAACAAGCTCTGATAAACAGCTGCGCAAAGGACAGTGCTTTGTTACCAACAAAATTGTCCTGAAGAGACTCAATTTTCCATTTATGTAAATTCAGAGACTAATCCCAGTACAAGAAAAGTAGCATTGCACAAAGGCTATTAAAATGTGTTATGGAACTGTAATAGTTGATGCTTTAATTAATATTGCCACCATTTTGTCATTATAGTGAGTTTCATGTTTATGTGGCGTTACATTTGGATTATTTTTAGTACTAATTAGCATTTTTATATTATTACTTCAGATTCTAGGAACTTAAAAATAAAACATTCAGATAGTTTAACATTACCTTTCACTATAATTTGGATTATGAAACATTTAAACCAATATTATAGTCACATTTTATAGTTGCAAGAATCCAATGTCATTGTTATTCTGTATTTACTCTAAGCAACAAAATCATCTTGTCTGTTCATTTCCTGTATGGGTGCATAAATCACCCATAAGGCCTGTAATGGTGTCAATTCCTCCTGTTATTTCTTATTTATTACCCTTCAGAACAGCTTTTCAAGTCTACCTGGCACCCCATCTGGCACAGAGGAAGAACTTGCTCTTGTGTGATGATTGCAAGTCTCATTCTAGTCCCCCCAGCTTGTGCAAATTAACAACTGCTTTATTTTCAGTTTTTTTCTGGCTGCCCAATAGGGTGATCTTGTGTTATTAACGAGAATTCTGCTCAGAATAATGAGGCTGAATTTGATTACGGCTTCTTAAAAGGTTTTCATTTTCTTTCAGTTTGAAAGACCACAAGACTAAACACTGACAAGTTGTTGGGTTCAATGACAAGTAATGAAGCTGAGTTAATCTGTATAATGCCCATTTCTAAATAGGGGTGTCTAATTAGTTCTGCCAGCAAGTGATAACACCACCTCATCAAAATGCTGACAAAAGAAAATGGGTCTATTTTCGTTTTTAAGAATGCAAAATTATGTGTAGGGTTTTTTTTGTTTCACAAACAGAAAAAAAAACACATTTGTAAAATTGGTTAATTTATTAATTATTATTATTTTATTAACTTTTATTTAACCATGGGAGAACTGAGCCTGAAGGCAGCCTCACATGCATGTTTTTGGTCTGTGGGAGGAAAGCGGAGTAGCCGGAGAAAACCCACGCAAGTACAAGAAGGACCTGCAAACTCCACACAGAAAGGCCCCATGTCCAACTGGGGATTGAACCCAGGACCTTCTTGCTGTGAGGCAACACTGCCAACCACTGATCCGTTGTGCTGCCGAGTTACCGTATTTTTCGGCCTGTAAGTCACAGATTTTTGCATAATTTACATGCCCTGCGACTTATAAACCGAAGCGACATATGGATTTTCCCCCATATTTATTCACCAATTTTTGGCTGAGATATGACCGTTTTCATTCATTCTGACATTGAAAATATTGAACACTACCATTTTCAGCCGCTAGATGGCACTCAAGTGGTATGACATGCCGTTGTGTCATGTAATAGGTAAAAGTGGCTATTAATGACACAATCGGCTTGCCAAAGTCTGCCACATTCGTCCAGCTCCGGGATCATCCCTGGAGCAACCGTCGAATCAGCTTCGTTTCGCTGCACCACCCCAACGAAATGCAGCTAATTTGACCATTGAAGTGCATTTATTAAGTAAAAGTTCAACTGAGACACAGCTTTGCTATAATGTCGCGCAAACAAATAACTGTTTTAGGTGCTTATCTTTTACTATTTCCTTCCTGATTTCCTCCCTCTGCGCACTCCTGGAGCACTGAGGCAGCAAATACTTTTGAAATGGAGCTGATTTGACCGTCAAAGTGAATTTATTAAGTAAAAGTTAAACTGAGACACACATTTACTATAAAGTCGAGCAAACAAATAATTGTTTTTAGGTGGTTATCTTGTTAAATTTCGAAAAAAGACACAGCGACTTGTCCCTCTGCGTGCTACTTCCGCATATCGGCTTTTGAAATGCAGCTGATTTGACTGCCAAAGTGCATTTATGAAGGAAAAGGTGGACTGATATGCACCTTTGCTATAATTTCGAGCAAACAAATAATTGTTTTTACTGTTGATCTTGTTAAATTCTTGTTAAAGTCCTCCTGTGCACGTTCCCACAGCCGCCATTTGGCAGCCAATCGATTTTTGGCACAACACCGACCCACATTTCCAGGTTGTCAGAGGTGACGCATTATAGATGCGACTTATACAGCGAAGCAATGAATTTATGTTTTTTTCCACATTATTAGACATATTTAGACTGATGTGACTTATAAGGTGGTGTGACGTGTACTGCGGAAAATATATTCTGACAATTTACTTGTTTCAAGAACCACCGTCCTGCCACAGGTTCACTGCTCCTTAATTGGTACTACTGCATCATAGGTATTTTATTAAACGAAAGTAGAATTTATTAACAAAAATACATTCAATTTTCTAAAAACTAAATAAATGAAAGCAATCGGGTAAGAAGACATGGGTTAAAAAAAAACACAATTAGGAAAAGGTTGACAGAGAGAAACAGCAGAAGCAGAGGTAAATAGACATGACATGGTGTGGAGCGTGTCACAGCATGGTGAAAGCGTTGAAAGAGAGCATGACACTGCCAGAGATTGTGTGCGACAGCAGGAGGAAAGATGAAGAAGCAAAAAGGAAGAGAGAGGGCGAAGAGTGAGATATAAGGGATGGAAATTGGCTGCAGGACGCAGCACGCATATGTCCACAAGAGAAGAGAGGAGTTTTTATACACAAATCCAGCAGCATTAGGCAGCTTGTCTTTCAGCGGACGTTGGCGTGACACTAAACCACACTCTGCAGGAAGCATCCATTCTAATCATATCCTCTCTCAGCCAGCATGCTCAAAAAACAATCCTCCACCCCACAAAAAATATATTCAAGGGCACAAGTTCTCACACACAATTACACCCAGAATCCCGAACGTTGCTGGTGTAACAAGATGTCATAACCAGGAACAACGTGACGCAGACTACATTCAGTAGAAAATGTATTTATTTTCACTGTCATAACATCATTAAAACGCTGCAGAACAACAACACACACAAACCTACTGCAAGGATTTGTCCTCGTCTCATGCCCCGGGCGAAGAAGCATGCATCATCTCTGAGCTATCATTAGCGACCTCATGATTTCTAGATCAAGTTCTCCAGTCCAGAAACTCTTCAGCAAACACATAGTAACCACCACTTTACTCCTCATCTCCCAGAACAAAACCGTGTTCAATTAACAAAAAAAAAACAAAAAAACTGTCCATATAACAGCCTAACCAACAGGCTACAGCAAACCCCCCACCCCCACCCCCAAAAATGCATGCACAGCACAGTTTAGGCTTTGCTGCAGAAAGAAATGTATTCAGTCGTTAGACCAGAAAGGAATTCAAAATCAGACAAAGAATCTGTTGTAATGTATGATCAGCTGAAATATTTATAAGACGTAGAATTGTGTATTCTGAGTTTTCCTGCACTGGGATCAGTTTTTTGAGGTGTGGAACAGGAGAGAGGCTGATACATGCATCCATTCATCTGTGACAGGAATTCAGATGACCACAGGAAGTCACAGAGTTACCTTCCCTCGCAGTATTCAGGCCTATTAAAGATTATGCCCACATTTTAAATTTAGCATGGTGCATTTGGCTCAGATGGGAATGAATACACCCGGGCAAAAATTATGTTCCGAGTTGATTTAAAATTCATAGGAAGGCAGCATAAAATCTGCCTTAAAATAACCAGCCTTTCAGTAAGCCTCACTCGGGTGATGCTGAGCTTTTCCACAAAAAAAAAACCCATAAGAATTCTGATTCTGCTACCTGTGCTCACAATCTGTTCAAGCTTTCTATTCAAAAAAGAAGAGAGTCTTGTACATAATGTTAAAATAACAAAATCAGCTTCTTTCCTGATATTTTATGAATGCAACACAGGTAATCTATTGCTGATGCATAGACAAGACGCCATTTTTCTAAACAGAATCAACATAAATTTAAAGGGCATATTACATGAGCCTGCACTCCTTGTACGTGACCTTGTAAACAGCCTGGCAGTAAAACCATTCTTTTTAAACAGAAAGCCAATATAATGTCAGAAAGGGTCGGAGGTCAGCGCTTACCCCACACTTGCTGAGAGCAATGTACCACCATCTCTCCCTCACCGAGCGGAAACTGCGACCACCCACGCAGCTCAGAACCTCCTCGTTGCCATCATCCTCCACCTAGAAAATCCAAAGGAAGGAGAAATGTATACACAAAGGATGTTGTTATTCCAAACAGGCAGCACATTTTTACCTCAGAGACACTGACTTGTCACACTAGACTATGAGCCTGAGACATCAAGACGCATGCATATTTCACACCCCAATATAGTCTGAAATGTCACAAACAAGATCCACTAACCACCCCAACAACAGAATCATGCTGGCAGTCACACGTCTTAATGCAATAAACAAGCTGGCTCACTTGTTGGAAACGAGAATTAAACCAAAGGAAAACAGGGAGGAGAGATCTTTTGGGATCAACAGTGAAAACATGTAAATTAGAATGTTATGAAAACACATTATGGGCCATTAGTTCTCACATTCCCTCCCATCTTCATCCAAGTCTTTCGTTCCGTTTTACATATTTCTGTGCTGATTTGCATTCCAAAACATTGTGCGTTAGGGAAGGCGAAAACATGTTCAAATGTCTGGTGATAAAACGAAAATGATGTGGATCGCTGCAACTGATAAATACGCTGCATGTCAGAGCAGAGCAGGGTCAAAGTTCAACCAAATTTACAAAACAGCATCCAGACACTGTAAACAGATTTTTTTCTCCCCATATTAGTTATAAAACACTGTTCAGTTCAGCCGTGTGAATAAAGGGAACGTGTTTGTGTTCTCACCACACATCCCGACCAGGTGTAGCGCGTGGTGAGATTGATGACCTGGTTATTTTCAGGCCTCAGCACTGCTTCCTTCTGGTAACAGTTCTGCCAATGACGCACACAAAAAAAGAACTCAAAACATCTTTAAAGCGTTAAAAAATGCACTCAAAATAAATACAGACAGATTTGCAGTGCAGGCAGTGGCTGCTGTGGAACAATGTTTTTTAAAACCTTTATTTGATACTTCTTTAATAAAAAGCAGGTTCGCTGCAGTTTAATACATAATCAATCTTACACAAAGCAGTCAATGCAATGATAAACAAATGCTGACTCAAATTCAGCCGTTTTTGCCTCGTTGTTCTTATTGGATTGCTGTAATTTATCAGATTAAAATAACATCAGCATTACATATTGATATCTTACCTCCTATTTCTTCTATATAAAAAACACCATACATAAACATGAGTAAAGATTTGCAAAAACTTGTCCTGAACTGGTATTATTGCTAAACTGGGGGGTTTAGATTAGGAAAACAAACGCATAAAATAAAAGGAGTATTTCTTGAAAACGTCACTGAAAATGTTTTGGGGTTCGTCTCTGATCACTCCAGCAGCTGGAGTAAAAACGCACTCCTCTGTCCTTTCCTTTTTGATGGGTTTGTTCACGGGTGAGTTGTTAATATTACTGTAAAATGTCAAGCGGAGAAAGAAGACCAGAATGTCTGAATCTGGAAATCTGAGACCAGAATCTCACAGCGAGCTGAGAAATGATGTGACGCTTGTAAGCGCACTGCAAACATCTCTACACGTCGTCACATCCAGGTGTCAGAAGTTGTCAGGCAGAGGATCACGCCTCTAACCAAATGACTTGAGAACATGAGCCATGAAATGAAAGAGATCGGAGTTGATGAGTAAGATGTTTAATCATCTGAGCAGGATTTTTATAAGCACCTGAAAACCCTGCTCTAATATCACACATATCAATTACCCTGTTAACATGTAGAATATAAATAGCTTCAATCAGATATTATTAATTAGCTGTGAAATCAATTCAATGTTGATGATAAATGTAGGTTATGCATCTCATCGTATCAGCTACAAGCCAATACTAAGAATCCATGCATGCTGGTTGGACAGCTGTGTCTGAAAGCAAAGAGTTTAACCTTAGATCTCAATCCATGCACACAAACAGATGGTAAATGAAAACTGCATAAAACAGGATGAGCAGAGAATTTTTTGCCTCTTTGTTGGCATGCCCTTTTAAAAAACAACAACAGAACTCAACTAATGACTCTCAACTTCAAAATATCCTGTCATTTCAAGTGAGGAGAGCAGAAATTATAGCATTCCCATACATAGTTTTGTACTGAAGTGAATAAAACAGCAACTGACATTTATTATTTTTTTATATAAATAAATAGGGTGTGCACCTGAATGACAACCTCAGCTGGGGAAACAACACAAAGTCTAATCAAGAAAGCTCATCAGAGACTCGACTCCCTCAGGCGGCTGAGGCGAGCTGATCTGGGAAGCTCAGTCCTCACCTCCTTCTACAGGTGTGCAGTGGAGAGCATCCTGTGCTCCAGCATCAACGTGTGGCATGGAGGCTGCACAGCTGCAGAAAGAAAAGCTTTGCAGAGAGTGGTGAAGGCTGCACAGAAGTCTGTTGGAGTCAGCCTCCCAACCATCACAGACATTTACACCTCTAGATGCAGGAAGAGGGCCACCTGCACCATGAAGGACTACACTCATCCAGTACACACACTTTTTCACCGCTCCCATCAGGCAGATGTTGAAAAGCATTAAGTGTAGAACCACTAGACTGAGGAACAGCTTGTACCCTGAAACTGTTAAGACTCATGAATCTCTAACCAGATAAATCACTGCAATGACACTTTATTTCTGCTGCTGATTTATTACCCATAAGCTGCTATATTCATACCCATCTGCTCACAAAAGACTCATGTTCAGGCTGCTGTTTAATACACCGCATTATATTACATTATTATGGTTTATCGTATATCTTAGATCCTTGTACAAACTGAGTGTTCTTCCAAGACGAGCTGGGCTCACCCTGAAGGACTGTGTGGAGATCAGTCAGCAGAGGGACTCAAAAAGGAGAGTCGCAGCTCTTCTGCACAGAAGCAAGTTCAAGTGGTTTGGGCATTTGGTCAGAATGCCTTCCGGACACCTTACAGGGGAGGTGTTTTGAGCACATCCCACCAGGAGGAGGCCTTAGGGCAAGCCTCGGACATGCTGGCGACATTATCTCATGGCTGATTTGGAAGCACTTCCGAGCCCCAGAAGAGCTGGAGGAGGTGGTTGTGATCAGAGAGGTCTGCTCAGTTTTTCCTCAATAACAACATCCCAGATAAATACCGGTATACGATTTCCTTTGGTAAAAACTTGTTTAAAATCTAAAGTTGCAAACAAATCTTCTTTCAAGCTCCCATTGGACGTTAAGCACAAGCAGCTGAGGCTGATTCCTACTGCCTCAACCTGCATGTATCATCAATAATATATGATAGAACGGTGAAAAACTTTAAAATTGTTAACTAGAAACTGGAAACCTTGGTTTTATCTGAGCAGGATAAGAAGTTTACAACCCTCTGGCTAAATTTAAATTGTGAAAGTTTAATAAATCTTTGCCGTGACGTGTGAATAAGCAGTGACTTTCTCTTATTCTGGGTTGTCAAATAGATGATGCAGAAGAGTGTCAGAATCCCACCTTTTCAGACTTCTTGTACACAGCTGGCCACTGAGAGCTGTCATCAAAGTAGAGCAATATGTTCTGACAGCAGCGAGACTGCACAGGAGAGAGACAGGGACACAAAGAGAGGCTGCATTGATAAGAGGAGTCAGTCGGACAAGTTGAGTTTCATGGGACTAAATTGGTTCCACAGTCTGCTCCAACACATAAAACAAGGCATGGGGCGAAGAGGAAAAGCAGATTAACAAGACAGACATGGTGAGAAGTAAAAAAATAAAATAAAAACTAAGCTGGATGACATTTTTACACAAAGAACAGTCAGAAATAAGGGAGGAGTATGGGAGCAGAGGTGTCAGTGAATTTAAGAATGAACGAGAGAAAGCCAATTATAAAAATTAAAATATTATATAAAAAACATCTGTTGTGAATTTCACATCAGTGACATGTTATAGTAAAAGTTGCATGAGAAACACGGTATTACAATGTTGTACCACCTCTTCCTTTTTTTAATTATTATTACTATTAACCTTTATTTAACCAGGCTTAACACGCATGTTTTAGGATTGTGGGAAGAAATTGGAGTACTCCGAGGAAACACACGCAAACAAGAGGAGAACATACAAACCACACAGAAAGATCCCAGGTCCAAACTGGGGATTGAACCCAGGACCTTCTTACTGTGAGGTAAAAGTGCTAACCACTAATCCATCGTATGTGTTTTTAAATACTAAGTGGGACTTTGAGAACCAAGAGGATAAATTTTCAAGATTTAATAAAACTATTTTTTACATTTCATGTCCGTAGCAGTTGGTGGCATCATTGAGTTTGAAAAATATTCAGTGTGGTGAGTTCTGAGCTACAGGAACGCAGAAATCGGGTCATGCTGTTGAAATATGAATGCGATAAATGTAAATTCTACCATCAATTGCAAGAGTTGTTTTATATACTGTTATTACTGTTTTCATCCTGGATTTGTTGTTTAAACTTTTAGTTTCTGCCCCCCAACTGTATCATTAATGTCATTGCTCCCATTTTTCCTTTAATTTTCTACTCCTAATAAACTGAAAAGAACATCATTTTAATTTTTTTTAACTACAGTATTCCATTGAAATTAATTATATTTCTGCTATTTAGAATTTGACTATTTCAAATTCGTGAATAAGAGAATTCAGTTTTTTTTTTTTTTCAGGTTTTACACAAGTTTCTGAGGATGTTTTTTTTTTTAAAGAAAAACAATAAAACTTGCAATACAAAAAGAAAACCGTTTATCAATCAGCCTACCTTTGGGTAGCGGAATCGAAAATCCAGCCGCCCAAACTCGGTGAGAAAGCAGAAGCGCGTGAGGAAAACCCAGTCCTGCAGAAACACAAAAAAGAAATGAACACGAGTGGACAAAAATAAATCTATAGTCTCAGCTGAGTTTTTTTTTACTTGTACTTAGCTTCAATAGTGCTGCTACAAGTCAGAGCCAACATGTTGTAATAGGAAGTTCTAGTTCTAGCAAAAGATCTAACAAGAAAAGAAGTTTCAGAAAAGAAAGACATAAAAAGTATGCAAAGACATTTTGGGGGCAATAAAGCAATGAAGGCTAAAAATGAAGGCTTATAACAGCAGGGGGGCAATGTTGAAAAAGACGCAGAGATAACAGAAGTCGGTAGAAGAGCAAAATAAATGAAAGTAGGGAAGTAGTGGCAGGAGGTTAAACTTGTAGAGAGGGTAAACAAAGAAGCCATTAAGATGCTGCTGAGCATATTAATAAGAAAGAAGCAAAAAAAAAAAAAAAACCTGCTCATTCTTAATATTATTCAGCCACCAGCTTGGCAGCATGAGACCAGATATAGTGCTGATGGTGTACTTCGAGGTTACATAAGGCACTGCAGCAGCGTTGGCATGGCTTTTCAGTCACTGGCTGTCTCAGTTCTGTACAGACACATCCTGTGGATACGGATCATATGTGCTGAACACAGCACTAACACTACATCACCAACATGCTGTTTACACTCCTCTCTCAGGATGACTGCCCACAAAGAAGGCCAACAAAAGCAGAAAAAAAAAATAATAATTAGGATCCAAAACAAAATGACATTGCAGCTTCGAGAAATACTAATTGCACACAACAAATATATCATGTGACAAAATAGTAGCACTTTCCTTAGTTTCATTACGATTTAAAATATCTTAGACGAGGGAATTTTAATAAGACTAAATAATTTTGTTTTTATTATTATTATTGCTAATTGAGTCACTGTGTCAAGCTTCCTTCCATGGACTCGATGTATGTACAGCACTGTTGAAAAGAGCAGCTGGAATCATCAAGGACTCACTCCATCCATGTCACTCTCTTATCAGACACAAGACATGTTCATACAACCTGAGACACAGTAGAGCAGATAGCATCATCACCCTGTAAGGGTTTTTAAGTCTTTTCCCTGTCACACTCAGACTGATGGCAAAACAAAAACTACTGATCAGGTGCAATAATAACACTAACTTCACTGGTCATGTGACATGGTGTACTTTCTGTACAGTGTAAAAAGAATCACTTAGTTCTTATTTTAATTATTTAGTGTTGTTTCAGTGTTTGTTGACTATGACTGAGAGATTAAAAGTTCATGCGCAATAATCCATGTAGAAAATCCAACAAAGTTCAGTCAGATCATCTGGACAGTTTCTTTTTACGTTGAGACGTTTCGTCCTTCATCCAAAGGACTTTATCACTCCGAGGAGCCACAAACAGTCCCACAAGCAGCACACTCGCACAGTGGACCAATCAGTTTGCTGGTGACAAGAATTAGGATTATTGAGCATGAACTTTGATGTTTTGAACCACTTTGGCTGTGGTTGCCTCAGAGGAGTCGACAGGGTCTCAGCGGACACTGGAGCCATCTTATCACCATAAAACTGGTTGGTCCATTATGGGAATGCGCTGCTTGTGGGACTCCGTTTGTTTGTGGCTCCTCGGATTGATGAAGTCCTTTGGATGAAGGACGAAACGTCTCAACATAAAAAATTAACCGTCCACATGACCTGACTGATTTTTGTTGGGCTGAGAGAGCTCTGCACAAGAATTCCAACGTGCCTGGATTGTTGGTCTGTGCACAAATGGCAAAGAATTTTGAACTTTGTGAGATTGAGATTATATTTTTAATGCTAATACAATTTACCATTTTGATACATTTATCAGAAAAAGCTTCATAAATGTTTTACAAACTCTTCTTTTATATACTGAAGGATCTCAAAGGTGCACATTTTCTGCTTCCATTTGTCTTGTTTCATTTTTAGAAACATTTATTTCACACAAGTGAGGCTGAGCAAAAACTTTTTACTAGCCAGTAACAGTATGTTGTGCTCAGTTTAATCATTTCCTCTCATAGCAGAGTGGACTTCTACAAAAAGAAAAAAAAAACATATATTACATGAAGGTACTGCACAGTTTGTAGCACCGTCATACAAGAGTGTTATTGTGTTTTCCAACATAACCACTTTCTTTACCATTTCTTACAGTCACTGTCTCACTTCTTCCTAACATTTTGCCTTTATGATGCATTCAACAGCAAATTCAAATTTAGAAATGTTTTAATCGTTGACAAGAGAAAAGGTCATAAAAAGTTTTGATTTCGTAGCATGCAGCCATACAGCCCATATCAGTCTGTAAATGAGGTGCAGTTTTTAAAAAAAGCAGCTTTTGGTCTATCTCAATCGTGAGGTCTGTGTGTAGTTCAGACATCGATCTTACAAAGTACAAAAAAAGTCATTTTAAAGTCTGAATAGAGGCACTACAGTTGCATTTCACAGTGACATGAATGAATAATATCCACACATCAAAAGCATCATTACTTGTCGTTAAAAGGGAAGAAGGGCAGACTTTGGAAAGCTGCAAACAGTAACAAGTAAAAAGAATACAGTGGAGATGTAATAAAACTGGAAAGTGGCACAAAAGTGGGCAGAGGGAAGGGAATGATAAGATTTCTCCATTACAGCTGTAGTCCCTAAACATTATTCCACCCACTCAAAAACAGTTTAAATGAATAAGTGCATGTGTCTATATAAATATTAAAACTTTTTTCCCCTCGTGGAGTGCAAAGGATAAGTATAATACAAGCTGAGGAAAGAACCTGCTCTGTAGTTGGATTATATGACGGTGGATGCATCTTGATGCTTTGCCACATGGCAGCGGGGCGAACAGACTGTGGTTGGGGTGCATACTTTGATTTAGTATTCATTGAGCTTTGAGCAGATACCTAACCTCCGTCATCTAACTGATTATATGCAAATCTGTGCAGTCTGATCCCACTGAACGGCAGCAGCATCCGGCCACCTTTATGACTTTTTTTTACTGTTCGTTAAATCAGCAAAGAGAAGCACAGAAATAAAATTATATTAAAAAAGGCAGTATGTAGTATGAATTTATAACTATAAAGAATATTTGTATAAACCCTGTCCTTCCAATAGAAGGGTAGAATATGGACAAAAAACCTGCACCAAGGTCACTTTATGATCTTTTTTTTCTTTTGGAGGGGGGTTAGTCTATAGATGACCTAATCTATTAACCTAAAGTGCATTTTTTAAACTAGAATACTGAGGAAAAAAAACATATTTTATCAGCTTTCAACACTAAATCTCTGACTTCTGATGAGCTGAGTCTATTCATCTTCAAAGCACTGAAGTTTATATATATATATATATATATATATATATATATATATATA